CCATTTTCCCAAAAAATCAGGAGGCTTAACAACAAAACTAAGGATGGCAATTTTCTCTGCGACCCGCAGAGATCCGCAGAGATACCCGCTATGGGATGGAGATTTTCAGAATATTCTTACTCGTAGGACGGGGATGGAGGTAATTTTTTGGTTAAACCCCCATTTTGATCCCTCAACTATTGTACGGATCCCCGATTTAGTCCCTCAACTCAATAAATCCTTGATTTGGTCCCTACTGTTTACCATTTTGACCCCAACTTAGTCCTTTCGGTAAAAATCCAATGACGTGTCATATTAACTAACGGCTACATGATGACATGTCAAAATAACATGACATGTCAGATGTACACTTGAAAAAAAGATGACATGGCAGTATGACATGTCTCATTCTTGCCAAGAACCAAACAAAAGAAAAACGTGGGGCCCACCCCTCCAAAAACTGAACCCTTCTCCCCCGTTCTTCCTAGTGGAACCCTAGAACAATAGAGCTTTTCCATCAAACCCAGGCGTGCTGGGTTCCTCAACAAGCACCTTTTCTTTTTCCTTTCTCTTCCTTTGCCTTCTTCATCAATCAGACATACTATCAAAACCCAGACATAATAAAGCAGATTCAGCTAACCAATAGTAGAATCATAAAACACAAATCCAGAGACCAAAAAACCAGATCAGGAAACCAAATAAAGTAATCACTAAAACCAACTAAAGCCAGAACGAACTAAAATTGCAAAATCAACAATAGAGATCGTCAATGTACGCACAGATCTCACTTTTCATAGCACAAAAACATCAAAACGAGCGACAGAATCCTCATATTAGCCAAACATAAATCAATCCATTGTAATCTCAAATCGAAAGACAAAGCCTTGAAACTAAATGATCGAGAGAGCTTACTTGAACAGGAAATCAACGACGAATTTAGCGAAAGAGAGAGCCCAAGCGTGCTGGGTTCCAAGGAACCCAGCGCTTGGGTTTGACAGAACCTGCACTTGGGTTCCATCGAACCCAGGCGCTGGGTTCCATCGAACCCAGGCGCTGGGTTCCATCGAACCCAGGCGCTGGGTTCCATCGAACCCAAGCGCTGGGTTCGAAGGAACCCAACACTTGGGTTCTAAAGAACCCACGGTTAGGTTCGAAAAAACCCAGTAAGCACTAGATTCTAAGAGCAAGAGGAACCCAACAGCTGGGTTCGATGGAACCTATGCCTGCGTTCCAAAGAACCCACGGTTAGGTTCGAAGAAGCCTAGTAAGCGCCGGGTTCTAAGGGCAAGAGAAACCCAACACCTGGGTTCAATGGAACCTATGCCTGGGTTCTATCGAACCCCGGTGTGCTAGTTTGAAGGAACCCAGCAGGCTCTGGGTTCCAAGGGGAAGAGAAAGGAAAAGAGAAGAAGAGAAAAAAAAAAGAAAGAAAAAAAAGAAAAGAATTTTGGTTAAATACCCTTTTTGGTCCCTCTACTATAGGAAAAAGCCCTTTTTAGTCCCTATACCGAAAAAATCCCTTTTTTGGTGCTTACTGTTCACAAATCTGGCCCCTTTTTGGTCCTTCCGTTAATTTTGCACATTAACTTAATTGGAACAGCTGACGTGGGTATGCTAACGCGTAAAATATGCTTATGTGTACTCCACGTCACCCTCCACGTCACCCCACTTCCTCTGGCTTTTTTTTTCTTTCTTTCTTTTTTTCCTTTTATCTCTAGGCGAACCTAGGAGCCTAGGTTCGCGAGGAACCCAGCTCACGGGTTCATGATGAACCCAGGTGCCTAGGTTCATGAGGAACCCAGCTCGTAAATCCTCCGTTTCTTTTGAACCTCCATCCAGTTCTCAATCATCTTCTTGTAGTTTCCCTCTCTCCACCGCTCCAAATCCATCACCATAACGCCGGTGTTGAAGTAACAGGTGTTTTTGGATTTGAATACCTGGGCTAAAACCGGGTCCGACCAGAATGCAAGGGTGAAATAATTGGTGAAATTGGCGTGGCAGTACTCTGGTGCGCCGATGACTGGGGAGTTCGTCAATTTGGTGTTCCAGAGCACGCGAATGTCGTCGACGACGAGGATGTCGGAGTCGAGGTAGATGACACGGCCAACACAAGAGTCCAGAATGTCTCCCAGATAGATTCTGGCGAAATTCAAGGGATTCTCCAGTGCTTCCCAGATTGAGGAAGAAATGAGGTTAATCACCTTATCTTCTCTGAAAATATAGATTTTGAATTTGAGCGACGGGAAAGTAGATCGGACTGTTTGGTTCAGTAACCGCGGATTGGCAGGGTCGAACTCCGCCGCAATGAAATGGAAGAAGATGTTGTCCGGTTAGGATGCATGGTGATTGATGGAGTTCACGGCGGCGATGGAGCCATGGAGGTACTCCAAATCCAGTGTCATAGCAATGTGAACAAAAGAAGGATCACACAATGACGCAAACTACTTATTCGCCGGACATTCCTTCTCGTTCCGATACTGCGCCGCCTCAACAAACTATAACGCCCCATAAACACCAAACCCAAACCCATCTCCCTCGCCGACAAGCAATCTCATTTCAATAGACTAAATCCTAATACCAAATGGACATCTTGGGTTCATTGCCAACCCAGTCGCGAACCCAGTCGCGCGAACTGGGTTCATCCTGGGTTCGCGATGAACCCAGGCGCTCGGGTTCATCACAAACCCACGAGTTGGGTTTGCCTGGAGGTAAGAGGAAAAAA